GATTATCCTAGATTGAATTTCTTGTAACCCAGACATATGGGAGAAATATCAATTCGGAAAGTGAACTTACGCGATCCTTAAGATATTCAAGTACTCGATTATCACCCCCTACGTGATACCCCAACACTTGTCATCACTATTCTTGTTGAAAGGAGAGCAAGTGGAAACTTTCCAACCACAACCTGCTCAGACAAGGTGAACCATTGCCGCCTTGTTTAAAACGTTGGTTATGATTCCCCTGGACTTGAGCCCCAGGTTACTAGTCATATACTCATATATACTTCTAATCAGGGGCTGATGTATGTTTGAGCTCCTCTGGACTTGAGCCCTTCCCAACATATTACTGATTTCATAATTAGTATTATTGTTATGATATATATTAATGATTTGCACAGCTAAAATTTATCCCAAACCTGGCCGGCCTGTAAGTTTTCTTTTATGTGAAAGAATTACTATATGAAGTTGTATCATTTGAATCTGAGGTCCTCGGCTTTCACATAGGTCATCTTATATGTATATATTTATTATTATCAGTAATCTTATTGATTATTTATAAAGAAAAATTAATATTAGTTAATATGTGAAGTTGTTATTAATAAATCATTATAATAAAATGTGATAAAGCTTGGAGTACAGGTTATTTTTATCTATTAGTGTTACTTGCTTTTAAATTTTATATTTTTTTTTATTTGTTGCTTATTAATTGCATATTATTGTCATCATCTTTAGAAATCGAAATGAGGTACGCTACTAATGGAAATTTTAACGGTTTTTGTTTTATATCTGAATTGTGATCAAATAAAAAATGTTTTTTTATATGAATCTGGAAGTAGAACATTTTGGCATTCTTGCGCTGTGAATAGGCTACAATTGTCCTCACCCAGTCACTCACCTCATGCCTATGCCGTGCTTTAGATAGTGCAAAAATGATATTTAGAATTGCAATTATGCCTTCAAAGTACACCGCTCCAAAATTGTGCATTTCAGGAGAAGTAACACACATGTATAAATGTATTTATGGAACTTTTACTTTTTAACTCAACCATACATGTAATTCCTGAAATTCCTGAATATATTAGTGGTTTTGATATGCCTACCCTCAAGTCTCAACGAAATCAAATGATATTTTTTTTTTGAGAGGCGAAATCAAATGATAATAGGATGGATTTCTTAGCATAAATTTACGTGATGTCATAGAGTGATAAGAGGTTATCAAACCTATCATTAAAGGGAGCAGAGGATACAAGAGATTTGCATGCTTTGATACATACCTTAACATTAGAAGACCATGCGCTTTCTCTTTGTTGGGGTTTTCTTTATTGTTTGTTCTATGAGAAAAACCCAACTCTTGAGCTCATTAAAATCTTATTTAGACTTTCTATTTTGGAAGTTTCTAATTAAGAGGGTCAGCCACTATCTCAATGTTAGAGTTCTGAGATTGAGAACGGGTCCAGGGACGACTTGGGGTATGGAATCCCATAAAAAGCATCCGTAACATCCAATCATAAGGACAGAAAGAGAGGCAACGAACTGAGAGAGAAAAAGTCACAAAACATGAGTTGAATGCTCATCTCGTTTTGCTTCTCGGAGATTGAACCGTTGGATCGTCGTGATTATTGGACAACAGCAACACAACATCTAGGCCAACATTCTGGACGGTGGAAATCGGGGTTTGAGGTCCAGAGGTTGAGTTTTGTTGGTCTGGACAGTAGCTAATTTTCTGGTGATATTTTTCTTATCTTGACTCTATTTTGATTCTATACACTTTGATGTGCTTACTTCCAAGGATATGATGATTTTGTATGCCTCTAATATTATCTAGAGAATACTTTGTATTGCTTCTTTGATGATGATAGTGGATTTAAGCGGTCAAAATAGTCTCGTGGTTTTTTCATAGTTTATGGGTTTTCCACGCTAAAATTTCAGTTTCTTTGTGTTGTTGTGTGCTTACTGGTTTTAGCTCAATATCTTGGTGCATGGAAGTACTACTGTGTGCGTTCTAATTGCATGGAAGTAGTATTGTGTGTGTTCTAATTGCATGGAAGTAGTATTGTGTGTGTTCTAATTGCATGGAAGAAGTATTTTGGGTGTTCTTGATGCAATTACAACACACACAATACTAATTCCATGCACCAAGATATTGAGCTAAAATCAGTAAGCACACAACAACACAAAGAAACTGAAATTTTAGCGTGGAAAACTTATAAACTAGCGAAAAACCACGAGACCATTTTGGCCACTTAAATCCACTATCATCATCAAAGGAGCAATGCAAAGTATTCTCTAGATAATACTAGAGGCATACAATATCATCATATCCTTGGAAGTAAGCACATCAAGGTGTATAGAATCAAAATAGAGTAAAGATAAGAAAAATATCACCAGAAAATTAGCTACTGTCCAGGCCAAAATAACCCGACCTCTAGATCTCAAAACCCGATCTCCACCATCCAAAATATGGGCCCAGATGCTGTGTAGCTGTTGTCCAAAAATCACGACAATCCAACAGTTCAATCTCCGGGAAACGGAACTTTTCTGCTGTTGTCTGCTGAAAAAACGGGATGAGCATTCAGCTCATGTTTTGTGACTTTTCTCTCAATCCGTTGCTCTCTTTCTGTTCTGATGTTTGAGATAGTGCCTGACCCTATTAATTAGAAGCTCCCAAAATAGAAAGTTTAAATAAGATTTTAATGAGCTCAATAGTTGTACTTTGTAAAAAAATAAAGAAAAATCCAACACTCTTATCTCTTAATACATTTCATCGTGAATCCCGATCCGATAGAACAAGTCATTGCATTATATGGTAATTAAGAAAGAAATTTCCATTTTTAATTTTATGGCTAGATTAAGAATGTGCTTCATGGTTTGATCACTTTTCCGTTCGATAGGATATTCGGATGATCAACACACTTACACACACTTAGGGGCTGTTTACTTTTATTTTCATTAAGTCCTGTCTGAATTAAGACGTCTGTCTGTATTAAGACGTCTGTCTGGATTAAGTGTCACTGGGATAACAAACTGTTTACTATGTGTGTTGAATGTATAGTCTGAATTATATTGAATTCCCAATTTACCCTTCTGCCTGTAACAAGTGATGAACATTCTTTACTTTATCTATCCCGAGTGATGTTCTGGTTGCATAAAATTTATTACAATGCCAATTTACGAAGCAAATAAGTTCATAAAACACAATCATAGGAATTCAATAATATTACACCAAAATATGAAATCTAGGCTTTTCTTACTACTCAATTAGCAAAAACATCTCATAAAATTGCCATATACTCTATGTTGTATGTGTCCCATTGTGTTCTATCTATTTCTTCTTCACTTCCTTTACTTTCTCCATCTTCATAGTTGAATATTGTCTTATCCTCCAACTCATCGAATAACTTATCTTGAATGTTGTATTTTCTTATAATGCACACCTTTTCTCTACAAGTACAGAAAAAACTTCAGAATTACAATTAAAGGAATAAAAAAAGGTCTTAACAACCGTGACTTAAAACTAACAAAATCCTGCTTGCTTCTGGTGTGCAGAACATGTACTAGAGTAAAGAACAACTAAAAATTATCATATTCAATGATATAAATTAGTTACTCACCTAAATTGTAGATCAAACATATAAGTTGTATTACTCGTATATAACTACAAACAACTCCGTACGAGTTAACATAGCATGAAGTACTCTGCAAATTAATAAAATGATATGTGTATATGTAATAATAGCATTATGGCCACCAAAATCTGCAATTACTTACATTAACAACAAATAAAATCTGCCTCAATAATGGGGAAAAAAATAAACAATGAATCAACAATAAAAAAATCAGTGTTCGGAAGACATAAAAACTCACGGTGTATACCTAAGAATAGATGGTGTATCAACATCCCAAATAAAAAATCAAAATATCACATATGATAAAAGAAATTCGATCATACAACTTCGTGTTTAAGAATATGGCATATCTAGATTGAGTTGAATTTCAGAAATTTTATAGAACTATCAGAATATAGTGATTTTACCATAAGGAGAGAAAAGGAGAACAAAAAATATAAAAAATCAGATGAATACCTAGATGAAGAAGGCGGGGTTGAGATTTCTCTTCGTTGCTTCCATGGTAGCTTCACTAGCTTGGAGTTGCTAGGAGCGGCGCTAGCTCGGAAGTTGCTGGAAGCGGCTATGATCAAAGTCTTCACTGCTATTGTGTATGCGATGAAATATTTGAACAAGAAGCCAGGGTTAAAGAAGGCAATCCCTTAACAAAAACACGTCTGAATGCTAAGGAGTATTAAAATGGAGCTGAACCAATAAGTCATAAGATGACTGAGCGAATAAGACACATTAAAAATTAAGTCCCAAGTAAACAACATTATATAACTGAATGATTAAGTCACTTTTTCTATTCAGCCCATTAAGTTGAAAGTACACAGGGCCTTATATTCATTTGGTTAGGAGAGAAACCTTTTTTCAATAATTGTTAATACGTAAATATTTCCAAATTTTGATCACAAAAGATTCTTGTTCCACTTTATCCTTTGACAATTATGTCATAAATAATATTCTACTTTTAATACTTCTAGATCATGTTTCTCATACGTAGTATTATTCATAATTTATACGTAGTAGTATATAGTATAATTTTCTCTTCTATACTATACTATTTTCATTGTCATGAATTTAAGCTCACTAATTCAAAAAAAAAGCTCACTAATACGGAGTATATTCAGAGAGTAAAGCAAGAAGAGCTTTTTAATGTCAACTTTTTGTTTAGCTATTCCAAAATTTTGTCCATTTCTTTTTGTTTAGTGATATGATTATTTTCTTTCATACAATACAGAAAATTTTACTACATACTTGTAGCATAATAGAGTGTTACAGCTTACAAACCAAATATAAAATCTTTCGGTTAAAAAAAAAAAACTTACAAACCAAATACCAGTACGGTTAACCAGACCCAAGTTCTTCTTTTGATTTGGGAAAGAATGAGTCAAATGGGGTTATCCGATCCACCCACGAGAATCGGGTACGGTTATACTCCGACTCTTAAATTCATCTTCCTCCTCATTTTCATGGCGACCTGTTTTTCGCCTGCTCGTTCACTCCCCGCCTTTTACCAGCACATCTGCTTTAACCCCGCCTTTCTCTCCCATTCCCTTACTCGCCCCAACCTTCTCCTTAGATCCCGCCCTTGTCACCTCTGGTCCCCGTCTTTCTCTCTCTGCATTCACACTCTCCGCAAGTCAACTTTCGTCCCTCACCTTCCTGCTCGCAAGCTCATTAGCTCCGCCCGATCTTTATCTGCTCCGGCCTCATCTGCTGTTTCCGGAATGGCGGCGGCGGCGACCGAAGACAATCCTTTGTTGAAGGAGTTCTATTTCCCACCGTTCGATTCCATCAACGCCTCGCACGTCCGCCCAGGAATTCGCGCCTTGCTCAAGCAACTCGTATGTTGTTCAGATATACGCGCTTGTGAATGTGTCATTGTGTGTGTGTGTGTGTGTTTGTTACTTGGTTCTGTAATATAGATTTTGATGAGTTTTGACGGTCTGAATTTTGAATGTAGGAAGGCGAGTTAGAAGAATTGGAGAGGACTGTGGAGCCTACGTGGCCGAAGCTGGTGGAGCCATTGGAGAAGATCGTTGATCGGTTGGCTGTGGTTTGGGGTGCCGTTGATCACCTTAAGTCTGTGAAAGATAATCCTGAACTCCGCTCAGCCATTGAGGAAGTTCAGGTCAGTTTCTTATTTCTCACTGGTTTGCTGTGGGGTATGAACTGATGACTTATCAGTTTTAAGACGCAGTCTTGGTCTTTTTGAATTTTATTGCATACATATAGGGGCTTTACCTTAGCAATTTACTACAATTTGTATCAGACTTCGCAGTTCTTTAAGTTTTTGATAAGTTGATCATTCGGGTAAAAAAGTATTTTCTGCTGGTTATTTTTTGAACTCTGTCCTTCCCTCCTAACTACATTGTGTATCAATTACCTACAGCCAGAAAAAGTTGCTTTTGCGCTGAGGTTGGACCAAAGTAAACCGATTTATAATGCATTTAAAGCTATCAGAGAGTCTCCTGATTGGCATGGGCTTAGTGATGCTCGCAAGAGAATAGTCGAGGGTATGTAATCTGTTCATGAAATATATATTTTATTTCAATGGAAATTACTACTTCCATGGATCATTGATATCTTATGTTCTACACATCCAGCCCAAATAAAGGAGGCTGTGCTCAGTGGTATTGCCCTTGATGATGATAAAAGAGAGAGATTCAATGAAATTGAGCAGGTATCCACTTAGCTAGCTACCTACTCGATAGGCTCAGCTGTATTTAGCTTGTTATAGGCTGCATTTCTGATTGACTTTGTACTCCACCATTGACATTCCAGGATTCCACTTGTTCCAAGTTTGCATGACTACCTTTTACTTTGCTTTGCAGGATTTGTCAAATCTATCACGAAAGTTTGGCGAGAATGTCTTAGATGCCACGAAGAAGTTTGAAAAATTAATAACTGACAAGAAAGAAATTGAGGGGTTGCCAGCTACAGCTCTTGGTTTGGCTGCTCAGACAGCAGTGTCTAAAGTAATATACCTTTGAGTGTCTTCATTGTTGTCGACATATTGTTTATGCAGCATGTTACTTGGTTTTCTTTGTGTGATTGTTAAGTCTATGCAATTGGTTAACAGGGGCATGAAAATGCTACTGCTGAACTTGGGCCTTGGATTATTACATTAGACGCCCCTAGTTATATGTCGGTAATGCAACATGCAAAAAATCGCCTGTTACGCGAAGAGCTTTACCGTGCCTACCTAACTCGTGCTTCAAGTGGAGATGATGATAACACCGCAATTATTGACCAAATTCTAAAGCTTAGGTTGGAGAAGGCTAAGCTTCTGGGGTATAATAACTATGCAGAGGTATGATCTTTCTTAATTTCGATATGTACTTCTACCTCTGGTGGCTTTACTAAGTATTACTCTTATACTTTGGTTTAATAGGTAAGCATGGCTAGGAAAATGGCAACTGTTGATAAAGCAGAAGAGCTTCTGGAAAAACTTCGCAGTGCTTCTTGGGATCCTGCAGTTCAAGGTAGTTTCACATTTCCATCAAGATGAATTCAAGCTTAGTAATGCTTTCTACAATTGTATTACAGCTAACACTTTATTGTATCTAACATTATCATAGTTCTTCTGGCCTAAATTTACATTTTTGCTTGATGTAAATTAGTCTGTAAATAATATTTAAAAAACACACGACCGAAGAATTTGACAAGATTCAGACGATGAAGCAAGAAAGGTTTCATATATATCATTGTAGAATAACACAATAACAACAACCAAGCCTTATTTTCAAATCAGTTAGCCCTGCTGCTACATGAAAGAGTTATATAATTTCCCGAGATCAACCTCCAATATCTTTATTTCGAATCCTTCATCACACACTGCGTGCTCAACTGCTTTATTATTCCTCGTAGTTTGATGCTTTTAAAAAAGCTACATGACAGGTTTTCAAGTTCTCTTTTTTCTGTTAGTCATCTCATTTTTTATTTTTCTATTTTCATGATGGTTAAGTGGTTGTTGGTTCTTAATTAGATTTTGAAGACGTTAAAGACTTCTGCAAAAGTATAGGTGCTCCAGAAGCTGATGATTTGAACCATTGGGATATTGGTTTTTGGAGTGAGAGGCTTCGTGAATCAAAGTACGAAATAAATGAGGTCTGATCTTCTTATATGTCCATCTACATGAATAAGAAAAGTAATTGATTCTATTTTTAACTAATATTGCATTTGCACTAGAAACTCTTCTGCATTTAACAAAAAATAAAAGAAAAGAGGATGTAGCACACAAATGAGAAATCTAAACATGTTATATTAAAGCCAATGTTGTAGTGTTTCATTCAAATGCAAAGTTAAAGTAAACACTTTGAGAAGTCACATGTTTAGGAGTAGGTGAGCTAATGATTGCCATTGTTTTATTCATTTTCGTTTGCAAAAGTTACTCTTGTAAAGATGTTTTTGAGGTTGTTTATGAAAACATCATAACCTTTGTTTCTTAAATAAAATAAGGGAGAACATGCAATTATGCTTGACATTATTTTATGCTCAAAGGAACTCAAAGACTACAATTTTAATCGCACTCTTATACTCCCTCCGTTCCCTTTTAATTGCAACAGTCAACATTTCACGTTTGCCAACGCACAAGTTTGACCACTAATATCTTTCATTTCTTATTAGTAAAAAAAATTAAAAAATTCATATTTTGAAAATTTAGAATGAGAAGAATTTAACAAGTTTTTAAAAAAATTTAATTTATAATACATTAATAAATAAAATATAGTCAAAGTAGAATATGTGAATAGTGTAAAAAGTCCAATATTGCAATTAAAAGAGAACGGAGGTAGTATTAAATTTTTCACGTAGATTAAAGTAAAGTTACAAATTTTTCCCCACGGAATTAAGGGGGGTGTCCCTGGAAGCGTATACCATACAGTCGGCTGGCACCGTACAGCCGGTGACATTTTTGTAAATTTGATGAAGTTCATGATTTCTCTTAAATGAGCATTGATGTAATTTGGATGAGCATCAAGTTTGTTCTTCTGAGTATTAGGAGCCTAACAATGAGCACCTGTGATCTCTGCTTCATATCTTCTAATTCAGTTTCTTTTTTATTAATTTTTGTTTATAAAAAAATCTTAAATTGTGTTTATAATTAATTTCAATATGTCAATCTAATGTTGTATGATATGTTTGATATGTGCATCATTTTAAAATGAGCATAAACCGGTACCAAATGAGCATACATAAGTTACAAAATGAGTATCAAAAAATTCAAAACTTCATTTGTGTATGCTCATTGATTTTGGGCGTTATATTTGATATGTGCATCATTTTAAGATGGGCATAAAGCAGTATCAAATGAGCATACATAATTTACGAAATGAGTATCCAAAAATTCAAAAGCTCATTTAATATGTGTATGCTCATTGATTTTGGGCGTTATATTTGATATGTGCATACATAATTTACAGAATGAGTATCAAAAAATTCAAAAGCTCATTCGTGTATGCTCATTGATTTTGGACGTTATACTCATTTAAGTTTAACATAAAACACATTTTTAATGTGTTTAATACTCAGTTGTGTATGTTCATTTCTTTGAGGCGTATACTCATCTGAGTTTAATATAAAACTCATTTTTAATGTGCTTAATGTTCAGTTGTGTATGTTCATTTCTTTTATGTGTATACTCATTTGAGTTTAATATAAAACTCATTTGAGGTGAATAGCGGTAGGGGTTTCTTTGTCTGTAGTAGGCTCCTTTGTCTTCCAAAATCACAATCTCAAACACCAAAATTGAATAAGAAAAAGAGAAAAAAAGAAAAGAGTGAAAAGAAAGATAGAGGGAGGATCTGCTGTGTCCTTTCTGGTGGAGAAGGAGATGAGCTGTGAGAGGCAACGACGAGCAACGACCTGGAAGAGAAAGAAATGAGTGGTGAGTGTATAATCAACCAGGCGCGAAGCCAGATCGAAGAATCTGAAACTGGTGCGAAGTCGAGGAAGAAGGCCAAAGCGAGATCGATCGAAGAAGAAGTGCAGAGCCAAAAAAGGGCCGGCTGTACCGTGCGCACGGTACAGCCGGCTGTACTATGTATTTTACCGGTGTCCCCAACATGGATTTTAAATGATTTTAAGGGATTGTAGATTCCATGGATTTTAATAGAATTCTACGATGTCATGGATTTTAAATGATTTTAAGGGAAATACACTCTCCACGATTATTTTAATAGAATTCTACAAATTCCATGACATTCATATGGAATTCCACGGAATTCTATTTCATAGAATCATATGGATTTGAATAGATTTTAGGGAGAAACATTTTCCTGCTCATGTGCTATTTTTATCACAACTGCACTTCGTCCATTAGATCCACGGGTGACAAAATTCATATTTCACATTTTAGCAGATGACAATAGAAAGTCATGCTCAGATTCTCCATCCATGATTCTCACATTCATTGTCCCTAAGAAAATCAAGCTTTTTCATAAACTACAGAGCTTTATGCATAATTTCTCATAAGTGGCAAAAACCATGAAAAAGAGAAGCTTTTATAATAAACAAAAGATGGCAGACATGAAAAAAAAAGCTGAAAATGTTCAATCAAGTCGTAGGGACTTAACATTAGGCAAGCAAGAAGATTGTGAATATACACATACATACCCAGATGTTCAATCATGCTCTATGATGATATCACAAGATTCCTTATTCCCACACAAGAAAATGGTATGCAGTAGTGGAAGACCGGCAAAAAAAATATCCCAAAGCTGAAGATGGAAGAACACAAGTGGCTGACTGCCTGGAGCGATAGACTTCCTAAATGCGCGATGATATGTTGATGCCATATGTTTTTAAGTAATGGATTTCAAATCCAAGGGGTGCTGGTGAGATTGTTGGTGGATTGAGTTATTCAGTTTTTTGGGTTAAAAGTCCATCCAATTCTTTCAAAGTCCATTAAAATCCAAGTCTTTAAGAGTCCATGGAATGTTTGAGGATACCTGGATTTGGATGGAATTCTAAACTCCATTAAAATCCATGTTGGGGACACCCCCCTAAAACAAAATTACATTTGATAAAAAATTACAAATATTCTACAACATTGATGAAGGGTGGTCTAAAAGTCAAAGTCTGCCAAAAAAACTAAAAGGATGCGCCCATACTAAAAGGATGTACACATTAAGAGGACCAAATGTGGAGTCCAGTCATCTAAGAAATGCACTTCTGCTTTTAAGGAATGAAACGAGAATGCGTAAATTTGTAATGTACTACTGCGCTGGAGTGAAATTGCCCACTGCACTACATATGGTATACACACTTACACTCTTTTATTATCATCACCTCATCAAATAAACCAATTCTATTTAGATGAACAAATAAATACAACAACAACAACATCCAAGCCTTAGTCCCAAAAGATTTTGGGGTTGACTAACATGAATCGATACACGATATCAGAGCTAAGAAAAAAAGATGAGAGAGACCACGATCTGGACTCATTGGAGAGGTGGACCTCTCTCCAATCTCACTCTCAAATGGGTTACATGTCTTCATGTTTCCATTTGATGTTATCTAATCAACTGTGATTGGGTTGCCAGTATTCTTCTTGCAGATGACTGGCTTGTTTTGGAGCAAAATCTGTTTTTTGTTATCTCATACTTCATATATTAGAGTCTAGGATACACGGATTAATCATAATGTGACCACAAATATTAACACAATGCAATGTTAGCAATTGTTTTGCCTCTTCGAGTAATGGAGCAAGTGAAGTGTGACTTCTTAAATAGATCTTCTATCCAATTCTTTCTGATATGTTCTTCCCCTTCAAATTTTTCATCACAGTACATGAAACATTCACATTCAATGATGTGATGCTCCTGTCTTCAACTTTCCCTGAGATTCAAATAAAAACAAGCACCACATTTAGTTCATATAATGATGTCAAGAACATTCCAAGTAATCCATGCATGATGCATAAAGAATCAAGTCATTCAGTGTAGCATCTACATAAACAATAACCATATAAAAGGATCCTCACTGTATTCTATAGCTCCAACCGCTAAGATTGTCGCATCTTTCCTTTTCGGTCCATCCACTAAGGTTGTCTCATACCAGATTTGGTAAAATTTGTGTGATTTTAAATCTTTTTTACTGTAATTTTACTTTACCATTTCAATATTAACCACATAAACTCACTTTTCCTAATAACCGTGCTACCTCCTCATGTACCAATGTTAGTGGGGACGTAGTATTTAACATGTGTGAAGAAGAGGTATACATTGAATAACCATTAAATTCTGAATAATTGGCACATGTAGATTTAGCATCTAGTTGCTTTTTGTATATAATTGACACCTTTATCTTTTGGTGAAAAATAATTTATCACCTACTTCAACGGTTCAACTTCATGTATGCATGATGTGGTTAAGCTTGCTTTCTGCTACTCACCAGTCATTGTGGAAGCTTTCTATGTAACGAAAAATGTGGAAGCTGTTCTTTTTTGCTTCAAAGCATGATTAATATGCTATATGCTTCATGTTCTATATCCTTTGTGGGATCCACTATCTATTATATTCCTCCAATTTTACTATATATGTAGCTTTGTATCACTAGCCTTTTTTAAAATTTACAGGAAGAATTGCGCCCATACTTTCCACTACCAAGGGTAATGGATGGTCTTTTTAAGCTTGCCAATAAGCTTTTTGGTATATATGCTGAACCAGCTGACGGTCTAGCTCCGGTAAAATTTCAGATGTGTATCTAACTTAAGTTGAAGGAGATGTGTGGCCGGGCATCTTTACTGATAACAATTCTATAATTAGGTGTGGGACAAGGATGTCCGGTTCTACCGTGTGAATGATTCAGCAGGCAGCCCAATTGCATACTTTTACTTTGATCCCTATTCACGTCCAGCTGAGAAGCGTGGTGGTGCATGGATGGATGAAGTTGTTGGTCGAAGCCGTGTAATGGCTTTAGATGGTGCTTCTGTTAGGTTGCCTGTTGCCCATATGGTCTGCAATCAAATGCCACCTGTGGGGGACAAGCCGAGCCTGATGACATTCCGCGAAGTAAGCATTCTACACTTGATCGTATTCTTGATGTTTTGGGATCAAGCACAGATGCATTACTTTTCTTATAAACTGATAAGTAACTTATTTGACGAGTAATATGTTTTCGTTTTCATTTTCTGTGGACGATATGTGGATATTGGTGTTTCTGTTTTTCTTCTTTTCATCTCTTTTATTCCATTAAACATTTTCTGGTTCGGGGAAATGCAGTATTTCTATTTAGAAAAATCACATTGTTTTTACTTCCATTTTAGTGCAATTTCTGTTGGGAAAAAATAGAATGGACTGCCTTATTCCTCCTAGCCAGGTGACCTGTTTTTCAACTGAATTGGCTATAATCTGGATGCTTACCTTCCACTCAGGTGGCTTCCTAGAGTCCTAGACCGCGCTCTTCAGAACAATGCCTGTCATACGATGATCATTTAATCTGGAACTATTTCTAAGATTTGTTGTGGTTTGCTGCATTTTTTTGTAGGTTGAGACTGTATTCCACGAGTTTGGCCATGCTCTTCAGCATATGTTGACTAGGGAGAATGAAGGCATGGTTGCTGGTATACGCGGCATAGAGTGGGATGCTGTAGAATTGCCATCCCAGTTTATGGAGAATTGGTGCTATCACAGGTATTTGGTGCTTTTAATGTCTTTATTTCTCACAACTTGATGCCATTGAACACTTTATTTTAATGACTTGATGCATTTGTTTTATTTGTTTTATCTACCCCCCGTTTTGGACTAGGAGAAATCTTAGGATTAACTTCTTAGTTAATAATGACCCCTCTGGTTCACTCTTCACAATAAGCATCTATTTATCTTAGGAGACTTGATATCAATCATGAAATTCATATACTCATCGTCATTAAAAGCACCTTAATCCTAAATATGTTTGATCACAGATGCACTTTACAGTGTCAATTAATTTTAAACAGTTAGGTAACACTATAATGATGGTTTTGTAAGATTGTGAAAGGAAGAGCGTACAGCCCAAAACTTTTTCATTATGCTTTTTGTATGAATCATCCTCAACATCATCTTTAGTTCCTTTGTCCAAACTAGTTGAGATTAGTAGAATGAGGCATTTGGTTTGAAGAAAATCAATTGCATTTTGTAGAACTTGACTGACTGGAAAGTGATTCTAATGTTTGATTTCTCATCTGACCAAGGAAAGCAAGTAATCAAAAGCAATATGCAGACTTATGTTATCTATATATGTATATTCCATGTAACTAAAAAAACAATGCATATCACAATTATACACACCCAAATACACACTATCCCCCGCCAGTACACCCTGCTCATGAGGCTGATTGGCTTGAACCGTGATGTCCTGTATCCTCTCCATGTTTCATCCCAGGAATCATGCAAAAATGTCAATGCTAATTTTGTTTCTTCCCGGGAAATTTCCTGCATGTATTTTGTATTTATTTTCTACACCTGTGACTTGTAATGCAAGTAATGAGTTATTATCAATTTTTCATATTGTTGCATGTTACTCTATGCAGGGATACATTAATGAATATTGCTAAGCATTATGAAACTGAAGAGTCTCTTCCTGAAGACATATACAAGAAACTCCTTGCTGCTAGGACTTTCCGTGCTGGATCCCTTAGTCTCCGTCAGGTGAGTACAGAGTACTTGTTGCTGGCTTTTGCTCTCTCTCTCTCTCTCTCTCTCTCTCTCTCTCTCTCTCTCTCTCTCTCTCTCAAACTGTAGAATTTAGTGACTACAGCCTTCTCTGTTTGAACAAAAGAGGAGAATATATGCGTTCTGGATGGTCCATTTTAATTAGCAAAACAGAAACCCTTAGTGAGCTTCTTCAGATTGAGTGTTTGCTAATAAGAAGCTTAAATGTTTTTTATTTTTCAGTTAAGATTTGCAACAGTGGATCTAGACTTACATTCGAAATACATCCCAGGCGGTTCAGAGTCGATATTCGATGTTGACCAACGGGTCTCGAAGAAGACGCAAGTGCTCCCTCCTTTACCAGATGATAGGTTCCTTTGTAGTTTCAGCCACATCTTCAGCGGTGGATATGCTGCTGGGTACTACAGTTACAAGGTTCTTTTGCTTACCTTGATTCGTACTTTATTAAGTTGATAGCCAATATTTTCCATGGCACTTGATTACACTGACTTTTTCAGTAACTTTGTTATTTGATGGACTATTTGCTATTCACTTGCTTTACTCGCACAAAAGATTCTGGTTTTGCTTTTTGGTCTCTGTGGGTTCTAGTTTCATGGCTTTGATTAATGCTTCTTGTTGTTTTGATTACCTCCAGTGGCTTGGAAACTTTGTTTTGCTTTGATCATGTATCAATTCATGTTAGCCGACCCCAATATCTTTTGGGATTAAGGCTTGGTTGTTGTTGTTTTGATTACAAAAGGTCCTTTGTTGTTTTCTGTTCATATATATATATTGATTAATTGTTACACGAGATGTGGTCTAATTACGGGGTAATAATGGGTTATGCAGTGGGCAGAGGTTTTGTCTGCTGATGCTTTCTCTGCATTCGAGGATGTTGGACTAGAAAATGAAAAGGTAAAAGAAATGCATTTCCTTTTCTCTCTCAGTGGTGTGGTCCTCTCTCTACAAGGAATAAGCTCATTTTGTGCCTCATTATTTATATATTGACTATTAATATTTTCATTGATTGATGATTGGTATATAGGCGGTCCAAGAAACAGGAAGAAGATTCCGGGAAACTGTGCTGGCACTTGGAGGTGGCAAAGATCCACTGGAGGTAGAAATGAGACAGAAAGTCTCTATATTCTTAACGATGATCAGTGATTACTATGTATAGGACTTTCATCCTCTCACGTTGTTTGTATGTTTTTTTCTCCAGGTTTTTGTTAAATTCAGAGGACGAGAACCTTCCCCAGAGCCACTTCTCAGGCACAATGGCCTCTTACCAGCTGCTGCAGTTGCATAAAAATGTATACACGGGCCTTCTAACCTGCCATGAAAGGCAAGCGGCCTCTTCAAGGTCTCCAGCTCTTGAGGATTAGCTGGATTTTCCCCTTATTTAGTTCATGGTAGTTGAATATGCAGAGCCTAATGTTATGCACATTATCGGACTCCTTTTTGGTACATGGGAAGGAACTCAAGTGAAGGACTTGGAGAAAATGAACAGAACGATGTTTTCATTCTTCAGAATTTTCTCATACATAGACGAATAACTGAAATTAAGGATGGACCCAGTCGGCAGTCCCGGACCTGAACTGGGCCCACCACTGTGTGGGACCAAACCGGGTCTAATATTCCGGTCCTGGGCTTGGACCGGGTACCTGATTGGGTGGGAGATGGTCTTGGGTAGGGGTTTTTGGACCGGACCGGGTGGTCCCAGTTCCGCGCCCAACAAACATTTTTTTTTTAAATTCTAGGTGGGAAACCGGGTCCGAACCGGCCTGGGACCGGCCAGGTAAACAGGAACAGAACTGGGTACCATGCTACTTCGGGTCGATTCCAGTCTCCAGTTTGGGGAACCGGAACTGGCCGGTCTGAGACGGGAACCGGGTCCACCCCTAACTTAAATGCATATAAAAATGTGCAGACTGAAAGCATTTTCGAGATAATTGATTTAAAGCATTGCATTAACTTCTCTCTATTTTCTTCACCAATTGAAGCTCTCGGGCTCGCTGCGGTAGGGGTGCCCGGTTCTAGTCGAACCGGCCCGGGAACCGAACCGGCCCGACACTATGCGGGATTGGCCCGGCTCGGGGGTATGTTCAGTGTGGTTTCGGGTTGCACCTCCTTTGGCCCACACACAAAAAGTCTGGTTTGGACCGGCCTAGAGCTCGGCTCGGCTCGGAACCGGTCCATGCCTACGCCGCTGCTAGAGTAGGCACAGAAATAGCTTGAAACTCGGATGATTGATTTTTCTGCATTGGTACTCACCTTTAACTAGCGATAACCAGGGGTGGACTCGGGCCGGTTCGGGCCCGGTTCGGGCCTGGGCCCGGCCGGGCCTCGGGCCAAAAATATAGGGCCCGGGCCCGAACCGCCGGGGGGCGGTTCCGGTTCCGGTTCCGGGCCAAACCGGGCCGGGCCGGGCCGGGCCGAACCGCCCAACTTAATTTTTTTTTTTTTTGTTCTCATTTTTAACCCCCTACCCCTCCCCCTCAACCCCAAACTACCCCAAACCACCTCAAATGGCCCAAAATACCTAATCCAACCCAAAATTTAAAAAAATTTCAAAAAAAAAAAAAAAAAAAATTAAAATCCGGCCCGGACCGGGCCCGAACCGGCCGGGCCGGTTCGCCAAAATCAGGGCCCGAGCCCGAACCGGTATCCCTCCGGGCCGGGTGGCCCGAACCGGTTGACCAACCGGTTGACCGGGCCGGTCCGGGCCCGCACAGTAGCGGGCCGGTCCGGTTCCGGGCCGGTTGGCCCGGCCCGAGTCCACCCCTAGCGATAACGTTTCAATTTTAAAATTATAAATTGATAATAGAATGCTTTTAATGTAATAAAAAATTAGATGTGTATATTTTCTGCCGTTGGTCAGCTTTGTTAAATTTTACTTATTCTCATTTTTATCAATTTAAGCACGGGAAATTGAAAATTCATTCAAGCAATATAGAGCATTGAAATGCCTACAACTTGGAATATTATGATTCACGTAACTTATTAATAATTAAAAATTATGATTTCGTGAAACTTAGGACCATTTAAACTTGAAATTACTAAAATTACTTATGTAATTTTAGTATCAAACTTATAACCTTATTAGTCTCATTAAATTAACAAAAACATTCAACTCATGTATTTTTTAAAAACAACCCACACTTTTTATTTTGTATTTAATTAACAAAAACATTCAATGTATTTTTTTAAAAACAACCCACACTTTTTATTTTGTATGTAATTAAGTTCCAATTACTCAAACAATGTTCTGACTCCACCATTGCATCAAGTCCAATTCAACTCTTACATTCAATGTCCGTACGCCATTGGTCGAGGATTTAACCACTTGCATGAGTTCATAGAGTAAATGCTGTTTTCAGGTTTAGCCTTAACTTAAGCACAAATGACGTTGGTCCAATATACCAAAGGATGCACCAGGATCGGGCTGGGCTTTGGGCCAGGACGAGGCGGGATCAGGACTAAAAATTTCAGGCCCGGGACCGGTCTGAGTTTGTATCGGGACCACCCGAGCTTAAACAGTACCGGGTCGGGACCGGGCCGAGACGGGCCTGGGCAATAAAATAAAAAAAGTGCAACAGGCCCGGGACCGGCCGGTTCGGGGTTATAGAAACCGGGCCGGGACCGGGACTAACAGTGCCAGGATCGGGCCGAGCCCAGGTCGGGTGACCCATCTCAGTCCATCCCTAAATATACCTGCCCTGCCATGAAATCAGGCGTAGACTCGGGCTGGGCCGGGCCGGGTCCGGGTCGGGCCTAGGCCCGGGCGGGCCGGCGGTTCAGGATTGCTGGAACCGGGACCCGACCGGGCCTCCGTTTCTTTTTTTTTGCTTTCCTAACCTCCCCTCACCCACACCCCCCCAAACCCCTCCTATCCATCAAGCCCAACCCGGGTGGAACCCCAAAAATTGGGGGAAAAAAATCAATTTGGCCCGGACCCGGGCCCGACCCGGCCGGTTCGCCAAATGTGAGAGCCGAGCCCGGACCCGCCCCCGGGCCTAGGCCCGACCCGGATCCGAGAACCGGGCTGGTCCCGCACAGTTGCGGGCCGGGCCGGTCCACGGGCCGGGTGGCCCGACCCGAGTCCACCACTACATGAAATGTGAGATATAGGATGTTTTCTTTTGGACTGAAATTTGCTGGTCTGGTCTGGTCTGATCTGGTCTGGTTTGTTTAAGTCTGGTCTGGTCTGAATTGGTCTGGTAAACGTCTGATCTCTGTGTATTTAATAACTATCCAAATCTGGTCTGGTCTGTTTAAGTCTGGTTCGGTCTGAGACTGAAAACAGTCCAAAAGAAAACATCCATAGTGCCGTCACAGCGTCGCTCATGGTTACCCCAGGTTATAAGAAATAAAAAAAAAATCGGTACCTTAAAAAATGTTTATTTTACATAGCATTGCCCCCTTTTAGGCACAAACCAGCGCATAGCAATTTTTAGAAAAGAAATGTTTCGATTTTCATAAACATGGTTTTATTCTAAATTTTTTATGTTATGCACTATCTCATGAAGAAATCAACCAGAAAATTCCAGTCATTGAAAATGTTCAAGGTGTGGGAACCACGTGGTAAAAGAAGCCATATTGGCTTGTTTTCTGTCTCAGATAGAACGAACCCTACCTGTTTCATGGGACTTTTTTCCCTGATATTTGGTTTAGAGAAGAAATAGAGGGAAATGTGAGAAAGAGATCAATAGGAAAATATGGTAGGTTTTGTGTGTTGTTTGGTCGGGGAGACAAATGAAGAAGGAATTGAGAGAAGAGCTAGGTGTACACATTTTGTGTACACAAAATGTGTATAACAAGCATTTTTCATCGAGAGAAAACCAACTTTCTCTCTTGTTCTCCTATCCATTCTTAAGAGAAGAAAAAGATGCGTGGACCATAAGGACCCACTATTTGCATTTCACTCCTATCAATTCTTCCTCTATTCCTCTTTCCCCTTTTTCATCACATTAATCTCTTATATTACCCCAAGGAGTCTGAAATAGAAGAGTCATCACAACAGCTTTTTAGGTTGAACATTACTTTGTACATGTGCTTCTACTATGTTTTTCAACCACTAAAATTAATGTGGTCATTTCTGTAAACAAACAAAAAGTTAAGGTCCAAAATTCAAATCCTACCAGAGAATTTCCCCATTAAATTGTTCTACACATTCTCTAGCTTAGCAAGTACAAAACCTCTGTTGATATGCATTTGTCAAGCTTAACCATTCCCAAGCATCAAAGCCCGTCAGAGTTCAGAAATTAAAAGCTTCTTTGGCTCAATATAGGGTGACCTCACACTGTCCTCGGAGGCACTCCCTGAAGAGTTTCCTGATTCTGGTTGTTGGAAGCAATTGTATTTGATCAATACATACATATGAAATGGAACTACAGAATCTGGGTCAATAAGGATCTGTTTGGATAGACTGTTTTGGAGAAGGTAGCTTTATATCTTGGTAAGTTACGAGTGTTTCTAGAACATACAAAGGGTGATTGAAAAATATTATGATCACATATCATGTTTACCTTTCAATTTTTACAAAGTCTCAAATATATATCAGAGTATGAGCATAATCATCCAAAGCTTTCGCCTCCAAACCCCAAGGGCTTCTTTGGTTAGGGATTTCAGAGAGAAGGGGGAGGGCTGATGTTTATTTTCAAAATTATTTCTACATTTAGATGGTTGAAAATAAAGTAAAAATAAAAAAACAATGTAGAATAGATCATATAGTTATATGTCTACCTTCTAATGTATAGCTAACAAATGGAGATAAACAAGTGAATTGAAAAACAATCGTCCCCTCAGCTTTTCCCTTGAAATCCCTCAAACAAACAAGCTTAAGGGTCTTTTGGAAGTCAGTAGCTTGATGACTAGAATTTTCTAAAATGCAGAATATATGGTAGAAATGTGACCAATCCACTTATATTAATTTCAATTATTATAAAAGTTCAAATATATATAACTTTTCCCTTCAAAGCCTCCAAAATCCTACATCCAAACAGACTCTAAGAGATTATATAGAATGGAATGGATTTTGCTCTTACCACCAGAAGAAGAATAACTGCTGGAGTTTGACGTAGTTGAGCTACTTGTTCCACAAACATCATCCTTCTCAATCTCTACTGTGGGAAAGTCACTGTTCAGAACTTCCTCCCCAATGTCAACTTCCTCTTCTTCAGCATCATCCCTTTTATGCTGTGGGATGGGCACACCTTTTGGGAGCTGATATTTTAAAACAACAACACCATTAAGCCAATCCAGGAGAAGACATTAAAGCAAACTAATCAGGAAAAACAGCACTAATTTTACCTCACTAATGTATTGCATCTTCACATTGCCTAAGGAGTTCTTCTGTGAGTTCACAAACCTGTCTAGCTCCCAGAGTGTGTCATTATCAAGAACTTCAATATCAAGATCAATCTCACCACCCTCCTCTGGCAAAGAAATATTTCTCTTCATTATAATTTGCAGCGCCTGTTCCATCTTTTCTTGTGGAAGGTTCTGCAAGCTCAAACCTAACTTCGCCTTCTCTTTAAAAGTCATATTCCTTTTGTTCTGATCCTTAACCACAGGCCTTAGCATCTTTCCAGATATGGGCGATACAATGTGAGGTGGAAAATATTTTAAGGCTTGGTTTGAAACTGGAGGATTTACCACCATGGAGTGCAGGCTTGATGGTTTGGATTTTCTGTCAAGGTGATTTTGCTCTTGAGGATCACAAATCATTTTTTGTGGTGCAACAGTCTTAAGCATGTTTTCAAAGTTCTTAAGAAACAATTCTGCCAAGGCATACACTTGTTCCCCCTTGTGATTATAAACCAGAGCGTTGTTGAATGTCAGTCTAACATCCTCTGCGAAATCTTGAGGTGTTGCGTATTCATTCCTGCTCAGTTTTGATTTTACAGTACCGAGATCCATTGGGTGCTTGATGATTAGATTGTAATCGTGAAGCTTCAAACTTTTGGCATCCACAGGTTTGTTAAAAATATATGCATGCTTTCGAACCATCAGTTTGTGCAATATCAGTTTGCACCTATTCATCACTATCTGATCACTGATCTTTGAGCCCTTCCTTTTCACAGCCGGCCGCTTGCAATCTCTATCTGAAGTGAAATTGCATCCTCGCTTTGTCCCTGAGGGTTTATCGAGCGTACCCAGCTCATTTCCGGCATTTGGTGCTTGCTTCTGATTCAGATTATTCAATGCATAATTCTGACTCACTTGAAGACATGGCGGTAGCATAGGCGGCACTGGAAGTTTGTCAGCAGCTTTTCTACCCTGAGAATCCGAGGGCGGAGGTCCACATTCCAACTCTCGAGTCTCCATCCGCTTCAGAACGCGCCGAACCCTAAACAGGTCAGAAACTATGCGTTGTTTCAGCTCATACAACTGCATTCTGGAATAGGAGGCCAGATTGTAAGCAACATATTCTTTCCGGAACAAGTCTCTGCAGCCGATGATAGTACCAGGCGTCCGAATGGAAGGCCGTGCTCTGTCAGCACCCATGGGTTGCGAGCAAGACTCTGGAGCAGGAACCTGCAACGGACCATTAAAGTGCTGCCACTTGAAATTTTTGCTCGAATTATCATGGCGGTTGAAGTTGTAGCTGGAGTTAGGGTTGATGAGGCCGGTGAACCAAGGTTTGCTAGTAGGGTTCGCCGGTGCACCACCCCACTGCTGTCCGCTTCTGCCGGGAAACACAGCCGACGCCATAGAAGGAAGGAGAGAAAGGTGGAGGTGATTTTTGGAAGCTATGCTGAAGAGGTAAGGCTATTCTCCGGCCAGAGAGTGGTGGGAACACATTATGGAAATGCGGGAGAACGCATCATCCACCGGTCGGTAAAGTGAGTAAATAACGGGGTGTTATTTACAGGGCCGAGGCCGGAAAACGCTCTGCACCGGTCCGTCACCGGAGAGTTGCACGATGACAGAAGCAGAGCACACACATGACACACCATGCTTTAAACGCCAAAAAGTTTGCCCGGTTCTGTTTCGGGCAGCCTTGCCCGAGTTACTGACCACGATCGAACGGCAGGGATCCGTCAATATACACATGGACGGATAATTTATCGAAAGAAATGAATATAATTCAAAATAATTATTTTCAAATGTAGACCTGTTCCCAAGCTTTTGAAATCACAAGAGAATTTTCAATTTGTCCCTCCCTTTCATAAAGCACTTTCACTTTCGATTATTTGAGTGAAAATGGTGACTTTCATCAAATGAGCATTAATGTAAGTTTTGGAACCGAAGATAAGGTCATTGGCCGCCCTAATTGTTTAGCGCTAACCAGTTTGGGTGTGGAACCCGTCCTAAACTATAATGTGTTTACCAATATTTTACGGGAGAATTTGACTTTGCACCCCATGTTTTGGTTAATATTGGACTTTGCATCCCATTTTCAAAATCATTAATATTTGCACCCTATTTCACTATATACTCATTTGATTTTGCACCCCACTCCTTCACAATTTTTGAGCTAATGGGGTGCAAATATTAATGATTTTGAATATGGGGTGCAAAGTCTCATATGACCTAAAACATGGGGTGCAAAGTCAAATTCCCCCATATTTTACATGTAAACATATTCATATTTTGTCAAACATTGATTTACAAGTTATTAGTATGCCTATATTGATCTCATTTCCAGTGATAACAAAGAGTGTCTAGTCGTAAGAGTGCAAATTGGCATTTTTTCCTATTCAATGTTTAATGGTAAAATCGAGTAGTAAACTTCACTTTTGAGTCGGTTTGGTTCATTTAAGTTGATTTGTTTCATTTTTTTGACAAATTTAGTGTTGGAAATTTTGAGGTATTTCAAATGAATAAGATCCTAATTATTTTTGTTGGAAATTTTATCATGACTCAAAAATAATTTTTCTTCTCCTCCATATTAAAGTAATGGAGTCCAAAGATCAAACTATTAATGTTTACATGTTACATGTGACCGGTCATACTTTTCTAACGTTAGTGTCCTTTTAATTTTAAACCATTAAATTTTCTCTTAATGGTGAAACGTTCTTTTTACTTAATCTCCTTTATTATGAATTAAGTGTTCTCCCTTGTTAAAGAGTATAAAACCATACGTGTTATCTTTTTTATCTTACTACATGAGTAGAAACAAAGGAAAATACACCATCATGCCCACATCATAAAATGCACACACATATGCATATACTTGAAGGTAGCAAGTTCGATTGACATTTTTAGTACAAGCCAAATCACATACATATGTGAAAACGTACATGTATATGGAGATGAATTTTGGGAGTTTTGTTGGAATATTAAAATATACTCCGTATATTTTAAAGATAAAATGTGTGTTTGTGCAACAACTCCTCTCTAATATATTATTACTGGGTTCATATACTATTTTCTTCTCGTTAGTTCTGGTACCGCTTTTATAACAGAAGGGCTCGTTATATCTTGGGGGAAATTTCCGTACGCCGGAAATAATTCCTTAGGACAGCGTTTGACGCGTCTCGAGCCACTAATATACTTTTAGTTCCTTTTAGTGATGATTCTGCAGGTCAATTATCAGAGCTAAATGGTCAATGATGTCAACTTAGGAGCAACACGGTCAACACGTTGATTATAGAAGGATAGAGCCAACAATTAGCATATTTTGACCATTTTCAATTGAGTAAAGTTACTCACTTCACAAATTCAAAGACATAAAATGAACTATCTAGAGTGAGGTCAGATTTAATTTGGTCATTTTTTATTTTGTTTGACTTCCGATAAAAAAGTCTTTAGTATGATAAATTTGTTAATTACCCGACCAGATTTGTGATTGAGTAAAATTACAGTATTAAAAACGGACATAACCTAAAGTTATGAAATTATATCTATAATTTTCTCTAAATATATATTAAAAGTTATTTAATCATCATTAAAGGATAGAGAGGGGGATAAGAGTATATATATATATGGTAGTATAGGGATGTGATTGATAATGCATAAAAATATGAATTGTATCAATAAAACATAATAAGAATATGGATAAGATCGAAAATTTACTCCCACATAGTAAATTTATAAGTTACTTCTATTTTTTCCAATTTAATTAATCATTATTTAGAATTTTAGACAGTTTGACCTCAATTGCTTGACATCGATGAATACAACAAACAGTTGGTTATGTCAGTGGACAAACCTCAACGGATAGATTAAGTCTCATAAGTGTTAAATATGAATCCTGTCAACTAAAAGTTACTATGTAGAAAATATATAAAGTCTTTGCAACTACTTGATCGGGTCTCACACTCACTCACCATTTGGTATATAAGTTCAAATAGTCAAGGTAATATCTATGCAGGGTGCGGTTCGAGCGAAAACATTCCTTGAGGTGAGAAATGAGAATACTCTAAAACGATGCACATTACGATTTACGGAAATGCACATTTAAGTTAAAGTAATGCATAACTTAAATTTGCAATTTTGTAGTTATATTTTTGCAAAGTTGAAATACACTTTTTTCCAATTTTCGATATATACATTTATATTTTATATGATGTACGATACTTAAATTTAATGCTCCATAATCATTATCATTTCTTTCTTTAGATAATGTTCTCATATGATCCGTACTCTTTCTATGCACTTTGCTCTCCAATTTACCTTACTTTTTGGTGTCAACCTGTTTTTAAACATGAGTTTAATGCGCGAAACCCTCTCATGATATATAAATTCGGTTCATTAGTCTATCGTGATTTAAAAAATGTGTTAAACACCCTATGTTATGATTATTGATGCACAAAATCTCTTTTATGAATAAATTTTATTGTCAAATAAATGAAAACTAATTAACTTTTTTATACAATTTTAAAACCATGACAAAGTTACTTACATATTCAATCATATTATTAAGGGGGTTTGGATCTGATTCTGCTTCTGCTTCTTTTTTAAAGCAGAAGCAGAATCAGAATCAGCTTTCAGAAGCTGGTCTCCCCCAGCTTCTAAAAAAAACTGATTCTACGAGTAAATTAGAGCGCCAGAATCACTTCTGCACTTTCACTCAAACACTAAACTTCTGCTTCTGCTCCCTGAAAGAGCAGAAACAGTTTTAAGAATCAGATCCAAACATCCTAATATCAAAATTATAAAATTTGGTTTTGGAGGGAGCATGACTATGAATAATTATAATGGAAATTTGAATCATTTTACAAATCACATAAAACTAATAAGCCTAAAGGAAACTAACAAAGAGGATATGAGCTTAGTTGCCTTGGCATCGCCATTGTATAGGAGATAGGAAAGCTGGAAAGGAGTTAATTTACCACTGCTATAGATTATACGCCGCCGATAGTCTGGCAGCAGCAAGCGATATATATTTATCGGAGGCAATGGTAGGAGCAAGTAATGTGTTGAAAGGGACAAGCACCTTCCTTCTCTTCTCCGCCTCCGCTTCTTCCTCTCGCCCGCTTCTCCCTCCCATTCTCAACGCTTTACCCAATAGTATTCGCTTCGCGATTCGCCCGCGCTCCCATCCCCTCAACCGATCCATTTTTCTCCGTTACAATGAGAAATTGGCCGCTGCGTTTTCACCGCATGGAAGAAGAGGCAGAGGATTAGTCTTATCCCGGAACTTGTATAGCGGCAGCTCCATTTCCGCCTCTTCTTTCTCTAAAGAGGATGATATTGATAACCCCGCCGCTACTGTTTCCAGATCGGTAGACTCGCCGTCTCTTAATCATCAGCCGACGCTGGAGATCAAAGACGCTGCCAATACACTGGACATTAGGGTTGGAAAAATCTTAAGGGTCTGGAAACACGACGAAGCTGACTCCCTTTATGTAGAGGAGGTCGATATTGGTGAGCCCCAACCTAGAATCATTTGCAGTGGTCTTGTTAACTATATCCCCCTCCAACAACTTCAGGTCTTTGCTTCTTCATCATCTAACTACTTTTGTAGAATTTTCATTATTGTTTGAAAGTATCCCCGTGTATTTGGACATGAGTCTGTCAAATTTTCTAGCTTTTCATCTAACCAAATCTCATTCTCTTCAATTTCCTCAATTTGACTCTTTTAGAATTGAGTATCTATTGGCTTTTCTTTAGTTCATGATTTTATTTTAAATTCACCATAGTGCTTCTCTAAGTTGGTTATAATGCATGGAATGAATCAATCGTACAGGACAGGTATGTAATTGTCCTTGCCAATTTGAAGCCTAGAAATATGCGCGGTGTTAAGTCTTGCGGGATGCTGATGGCAGCTTCTAATGAGTCGCATCAAAATGTTGAGCTCTTAATGCCACCTGAAGGTTCCGTTCCTGGTGAAAGGGTATGGTTTGGTTGTGATGATGAAAAAGACACCTTACCTGAGGCAGCAACACCCAATCAGGTACTCACTTTCTCAATGTTAAATTCTGATCATCGAATGCAATTGATAAGAAATGGTTTTAATATTTCTCAAAACAGTTAGCCATACAAATATACAATGACTCTCTTATCATTCTATTTAGCAATTTAAGGCTTGACCAAGTTACAGTAGGTAGAAAATGGTCCTGCTTTACGGGCAAACTTACAGCAGGTCGTAGTATGCGCTTTATGGAAGAAAATCCAGAAGTTGATTAAGGAAAGAAATACATCAAAGTAGTGTTATTCAATTCAATAAAGCTGGCATCCTTGGTGCTGGGCACATCTTTCTTTAATCCGATTACGCTACATTTCATGCTAATATGTAGCTCAGTTGAATTTAAACAGACCAGAGAGCATCATTGATTTAAACTTGTATCAATAATTAGATTCAGATGATCGAAAAAAAAGAGCCAAAACAAGTTCAAAATTTAAGTAAAAAATGCAGGGAAAAAAGCAAAGAAGTACGTGAGCCGTGCAGAGAGAGTTCTTGATAGTCTCTCTCTTATGAGAGATCTATATCAAAATGAAGAAATCGTGCTGTTGTGCTTGTGCATGATGAGAGAGCATAGGATCACGAAATGAAATGTTTGTCCTTTGTGTACATCGACCAAGAGGTTCTTTACTTGTAACACTGCATACGTTTAGTAGGGATCAAGAAATTTATTTGATGCTAACCAATCGGCTGTCGCTAGGTACTTTCTACTTGGGAATTGAAATTTTCTGAACTAATTTGTGTGTCTGATCAATTTTTTTTTTGTATTTTATTTTGTTATTGTTCAAGTCTAGTTTGGGTTGATAAGACCAAAACTAGTCCAACTGAAAACATTTGCATTGCTTTGTTTTTTGGAAAAGAGAGAGCGGAGCAAGAAAAAATTGGAAATGAGTGGATTTTGGGTTGTTTGGCAGAGAATAATGAAAGAATTAGAAGAGGAAGAAAAATAGGAATTTGTTTTGTAAATGGACCAAAACATGGTTAATTAGTACGGAGTATAATTTGTAAATTTGGAAAGAGGGTAAAAATGAGAGAGCAATTAGGCCTTCCACATATGCTTTCTTCGCACAAGTGGGCAGAAGAAAGAATCTGGAGACGGGGGCACCTGCTATTTTTTTGTTTGTCGCTCTCTCTATTCCCTTTCTCAAGAAAGAGTCAATTCGTTATTTGGTTCTTTTTTCTCCTGTCTTTATCTGTCTTCAATTACTAAGTACTAACACTTTTTATGGGATCAGTTGCAATTGAGTGAGACTAGCAGCCTCATCTGTGCCAGAAAGCTATTTTTCAGATCATGCATTGATTTCCCTTAAGAGGACCTTAAATATGATAGCTCTTATCACTCTGTTGAATTTCTCCTGTGCAGGTCCAAAAGAAAAAGATTTGGGAATGGGTGCAGCCACAGCTGAGAACCAATGACTCTTATGTTGTTATGCTCGGTGCACATTGTATGCGGACACCCCTGGGTGTTGTGGTCTGCAGCTCTCTAGCCAATGCAAACGTATCATGATCAAAATATACGCTTGTTGACTGTTGAGTGTTGAGTTGTTGACATAGTGGAGACTTGGACAGCATAGTTTTGGCATTTATTTGAATTTTGGTTTTAGTGTTGAGTGACTTCAGTCGATTCGATGCATGCATAGGGGTGCTAAACCGCTAATCAACCAAGCCGACTCTTCTTACTTGAACCTAGATCAACTCGATTGAAACTCGATTCGAATCCGATTTGAACCAAACTAAGTCAAGTTCAAAGTATATACAAACTCGACTAGAAAAGCTTGCAAACTACTCGATTATGGGTTTGCATTGATTCTTTTGGATTCATACATATGACATTACATCATGGATCCAAGTATAAAAGATATACTCATCTTCGGCTATAAATACATTAAAGATTCACATATCGTTTAACGTTTTAAACAATGACCAAAAAGTACTATTCAAATTGTAGACATTCTCAGATGATTTCAAGCAGATTAAGTAGTGGATCCAAGTATAAAAGATATACCCATCTTCGGCTATAAATACATTAAAGATTCACATATCGTTTAACGTTTTAAACAATGACCAAAAAGTACTATTCAAATTGTAGACATTCTCAGATGATTTCAAGCGGATTAAGTAGGATCAATTGAATTTAGTTCATCTTAGGTTTAAATACATCATAGAGGGCGAAGAGAGCCATAATGTGTAAGAGACAACTAGGTAGTGATGGACTCGGACCGTACCATACCGACTCGGCATTGGTTCATGACCGGACTAGCCCACCGGCGATCACGGTCTCGGGCTGCAAAAGGACCATACCAGGTGGTCTCGGCCCCGGTTCCGGTCCCAACGGCTACAATTCAATTTTTTTAATGAAGGGTGGGGTTGGGGGGCATATAGCCAGTTGCAACGGCCATATAATGGCTACCCGGGATCGGAACAACTGAACAAGGACCGTACCAACCCGGGTTGGTACCGGGCTCCATTTTTCTGATCTGGAACCGGACCGGGTCCATGACTACAACTAAGTGAGAATTTGAAACAATGTTTTTAGGTTTAAAAAATTGTTGATAAGCATGTACACTTTTAAATGTATAACAAATTAAACTTTTTGTATAAAAATAAATCATTTTAAGAATAGATATAAGGCAGTGTCTAGGACTTGCACCTCAGATCATTTTAAGTACCTAGGGCAAACAAACTCGAAGTTGAGAAAAGGCGTCATCTTAAACGTGAAAAAAACGTGAAACTCAATCAACCATTATTAATTTAATCATGAGTCAAATGAGGGATACCAAAACCAGGAGGAACCCCGAATAAAACATGACCAGGAGCGGCCCTAGAGGTGCAAGAGGGGCGACCGCCCTAGGCCCAAGAAATTAGCGGGGAAAAATAGGTCCAAAAATATTTCTTTGTATGTAGTGTGAGTATGCTTCTTTTTCTTAGTTTGTAAGCTCAATTAATTGACCCAAGGTTTAATTTTTAAAATAAATGTAAAGTGGCACGCCTCTCTTAATTCTCTTTGGATCTCTAAGTTTTAAAATCCTTTTAATTAGTCCCTCCGTCCATTAATACTTTGACACTTTCCCTTTTAATCAATGATTTTGTGGTTTCTGTTTTTTCTCTCTCCTCTGCACAAACCTCAACCACACAACTTTTACTTTATATTCTACGTGTCGGTCAACTTTGGCAAAGTTTTAAGGGACGGATGTAGTACAAAATTACCAAGTTATGTTAGGTCTCCAAAGTTTTAAGGGACGGAGGTAGTACAAAATTACCAAGTTATGTTAGGTAGATCCAAAACTCCCAATTTGCAAAGCTCATCCAAATTGATTTGTTGTTTCCAAATTTTAATATCAACAAGAGTAAAGAACGCTGCAAAGCGGTGAGGGTCTTATCGGTGACAAAAAACTTCTTCTTTAAGGCTTCAAACAATTCATCTGTGATCATTAAATTATTCTTGATAAAATTGATGAATCAGATTGGGATATAAAGAGAGAAAGAGAAGAAGATTAGAAAAGATAGGGTTAAGTTAGCAGGGATCAATGTAAAATTTTGTTTTTGTTAAGAAATTGAATTTTAAAAATTCTGTGAGAAACTTTTTTAAGTAATCTTTTTCTTTTTATGTGATACTTTTTTTTTACTCCCGGAGGCGTCTGGGCCAGGGGGCCAGGGGGGGCCTGGAGTAATCTAGGCTGAAACTCACTCCAAATGAGTTTTGTTTTTATGTGATACTCGTGTTGTTAATTTTCACCAAATGAGTTTTGTTTTTATTTAATGACCTTTATTAAATAATTTTATTATAATTATTATTTTAAATAAATATATTTTATTATATGTCTTGAATATAAGCCCACACATTGACCCTTTGGTTGAGAAGTCAACATTCACCCTCATTCTTCCCTCACCCGGCTGCTGCCACGAATCAGCGGTGGATCCCTTTGGTTCAGGGTGTTCACCTGAACACCCAAAAGTTTGACAATAAAATGCAAAAATACATATAAAATTGATTCATAAATGTATATTGTTTTTTTACACAATATTTGTTATTTTGAACTTTATATGCTAGTTTTTTGTAGTTCAAAAAAATACATTTTTTCGGATCAAATAATATCATTGAGTAACATTTAAATGTTAAAATAATTTTGAACATCCCACATTTTATTACAATATCCGCCACCGGTCATGATGAACAACCAGCCCACACCTCGTTGCCAAGCCTACAACCAACTCGTTGCTCATTCACTGATCGTTCATGTGCTACTTTCACCCCTTCCAAAATGAAAAAGCTTGCTTCAAAATTCGATAGGTCTGTATATGAGTTCCATTCCATACTCATCGTTATAGGCTCGTCATAATCCCCAACAGCTGAGAATCAACAAGCACCCTCCTCTACAGTCCTCTTCTCTCAAATAGGTCCTCGAACTTTCATAAAAAGGTCAATTAAGTCCTTCTATAGAAGGTTCTGTTCGGCCGTCGCGATTTAGGGCAGTTCCCGGTGGAATTTTTGGATGAAAGTTTTTGAGCATCTTATTCACCAAGTCTAGTTTACTCATACCAAATTTCAGCTAAAACTTCAATCGGGAACACATTCAAATTAATTCTTGAAGATAACTGCGCATTTTTGCGTTCTCAAATTAATTTGAATGCGCTCCCGATTAAATTTTTAGCTGAAATTTGGTATGAGTAAACTAGACTTGATGAATAAGATGCTCAAAAAATTTCATCAAAAAATTCCACCAGGAACCGCCCCAAATCGCGACGACCGGACAGAGTCTCCTATAGAAGGACTTAATTGACTTTTATGAAAGTTCGAGGACCTATTTGACAGTTTTCCCTTAATAATTGCTTCATAATTAATCTTTTTCAAGATTCCATGTTCAATGCTGAAAATTGGTACCATTAAGCTTTCTTAAGACATAGTCGATCACGGATAATAATTGGGATGAAGTTTGAGAATAGGGAGATACGGGCTGTTCACAGAATAGTATAAATTGATAATTTTGTAATTAAAAGGAATAAAAAGCCTTAAAGGCTAAAGAGATGTGAAGAGACATGAATTTATTTATTCAGCAATAAATGTGTTGACCTACAACTAGCTCTACTTAAAATTAAATTTAAATGTAAATTCTTTTTTAAACTTGTGTAAGCAACTCCAACAAAAACTTTTTTACTCATGTTTTAACATTTCGAGATTATCAACATAAATTAAACATTAGGCCTAATTAATTGAATTTTTTAAAAAGTCTACTCATCACATTATATATGAAGAAAAAATTGGGCCTCATATTTTCTCATATATTTTCGGGCCTAGGGCGGTCGCCCCCGCTGCCCTCCCCCCTAGGGCCAGCCCATCTTCGGCCACTTGGAATCCGCGAGACTGCAATGAACAAAAATATGTAGCTACACAAACCCTAGCATTATTCATCCTCTTATGCCTCAATGCCGCTCTCGTGGGAAGGCACCCGATGCATGCCTGCCAAAAAAACTTTTGATTCTCCTCCACTTTCTTTGATCCCCACCTATAACAGCTCTTAACTGAATAAACACCTCGTTGATCCTATCTCCATATAACCCGATCCAGTACTTCGATTACTTCCCGCTTGCTAAGGGGGACCAATTTTATTCCAAGATGATCAAGAATGAATCCTAACAAGGGATTTAAATACCCATATATATGCTAGTAATTTTTTTTTATAAATGTTTAAATTTTATATGTGATAATAAATTATTTAGTTTGTGCACATTCTTTTTGTATTTTAAATTTCTTTTTTGTTAATTTTTTTGACTTTTAAATGTTTGATGACTTTTCTCTTTTTATGCGCATTTTCTAATTCTCGTAAAGTGTTATCGTAATTTTACCTTTTTATTTTCAATTTTTCGTATTTTAATTAAAAAATATTATAAAAAAGTTTGTTATTTATACATTGTCTGAAACTGGAGATTTATATAATTTAAATTATTTTATATTATAACTCTTAATACCAATAAGAGGTATGATTGGTTTTAACAGTTTAAATCAAGGGTTTCAAATTGCCATTTTGGTAAAACATTTAGTATATTTGAATTGAAAAAATAAAACTTTGACTAATATGTAACTTTCAAAAAAGGAAAACACTTTTTGTCCTATTTGTCAAGTATTCCCTAACAATAATTCTTTTTATTCCTTTTGTTTCATAGTGGAAACTCTTTTGCATTAGTACTCTCGTTTTTCAAGTCAAAAAGTCCAGTTTTATCAATAAAAAACATAGTGAACATTCTTAAACCCAACTCTTGTGACTGGAAAGGAATAACAATCCCTCTTATATTGAACTAGATTCTTAACCCGTGCGTTGCACGGGATGTATAGTTTATATGTTTAATTATGCCAAATAAAACATTTGTACTACCTCCATCCTGAATTGATTTACAAATTTGTCTTTTGTTGGTCAAACAGTTTCATTTTGTTAACTTAATTAGAATATCAACTTTTAATTACATTCAATTTTGGAGTTTACAACTTTGAAGAAATTTTAATTTAGTTTATGAATAAGGAAGTTTTAATTATTAAAAGTTGAATTAATTATCCAGAGGGAGGATTCACTTTTATTATTGGTTGACCAAAAAATGTTGACTTTGCAAAACAAATTGGGACGGAGGGAGTATTTGATTTAAAATATGATTTATAAGGCTGATAAGATAGATACATGGATTATCAAAAGGCCTTGAATTGAATGATAATACCGTTAATAAAAGCGCAAAAATCATTCATAAATACCCAAATTTAATTTAGAGAAAATTCTCTAAATAAGACTAAAACATGAATTAAATTCATAAATAGGACCATCAATGTTTTATTCCAAAAATAGGACTCATTCACTCCTAT